TTTTTTTTGCGGAACCGGGGATTGAATTCAGGCCCTTATTCCCCTGAGCCATCTCCCCAGGAATTCATCGTCCCCTCGCACCACCGAAGGGGCCAAGGCCATCAGCAGAGGCGGCTGCGATTCTGAGCCTGCACTTCTGCCCTCCTTCTGTCTGTCTGCTCGACCGCCGTCCTAACCGCAGATGGTATTTTGATTTCTTTGGACCCCAGCCTTAGCAGTTCAAGAAAAAGCACGCGTTTGGCCCAAGAGGAAGTCTCCGATACGAGGGACTCGGGGTCCGCGGTCGGAGCCAGGTTCTGGGCGCTCAGTCCGAGGTTCTCCACGTGGCCCGCGCCGCGTCCGGCCACCCTGTCCCCGTGACTCTTGCCTCGGCCCGTGCCGGGCGGGCGGCGAGGCTGCAGAGCCCTCGGCCAGCGGCGGGAGGCTGGGAGGGCCGGCGCTGCTCGGAACTGTGGTCACCCATCGCCGGGGAAGGGCCGGCTCGCCGCGCTCCCGAGACGCCTGCGGCTTTAAAACACCCAGGGGGTTCGCACTGGCTCTGCTTTAAAGGCCGCGGTTCCAAAGCGACCTTTGTCTCACGGGCTAGAGACTGTCTCTCCGGGGGCGCAGGCGTCCGGACGCGGAGCGGATGGGGCCGGGGAGATGGCTCAGTGGAATAAGCGCTTGCCTGGCCAGCTCAGGGGCCTGCGTTCAATCCCTGCGGCGGGGCAAGGGAACCCCGGAGCGCCGGTTCCCACGCCAGCGCGCCCCGCCCCGCCCCGCCCCGCCCCGCCTCGGGACGTAGCCGGTGTTTTGCATCTTGATTGGCTGTGCTGGGCGCGCGGAAATGCCGCAGGCGCAGTAGCTTTCCGAGCTCCGGAAGGCCAAGGTGAATGGGCGGGGCCTGCTGTGGGCGGGGCGGTCGCGAAACCGGACGGGGAGGGAGGCCGAGCTCGCGTCCACGTCCGCACCGGACCGGCACCCACCCGCGCCCGGGCGCCGCCGCAGCCGGGAGGCGGGGCTCACGGGCTCCCCGCCCCTCCCCTCGTGCGTTATAAAAGCAGGCTCAGGAACCCTGGCGGTCGCGGGGGCCGGGA